CGGTACAGCAGGCGGGCCCGGTGGCTGGGCGGCCCGGCAGCCGCTTGAGAGATGGGGCGGGGCCGGCCAGGACCTCCTCCCTCATTCCCTCCGCGGGCCGAGCCTCCCCTCTCTCCCACCCCTTCTCCTCTCTTTCTCACCCCTCGGAGTGGAGCGGCCCATGCGGCTGCTCCCTGCTCCGTCCCGCCCAGCCACTGTCGTGCAGGAACGGGTCCCTGCAGCCCCCAGTCGATGGCAGGACAGTAGCCGCCTGTCAGGGGTCGTGAACGGCTGAGGCAGACGCAGTGGCTCCCGGGCCTCAGAGAGTGGGTGTCTCCGGAGGCCATGGGCTACCCCGAGATAGAGCGCAGGGAACCTCTGCCCGCTGCAGCGCCGCGGGAACGGCGGAGCCAGGGCTGCGGCTGTCGCGGGGCCCCTGCCCGGGCGGGCGAAGGGAACAGCTGCCGGCTCTTCCTGGGCTTCTTTGGCCTCTCGTTGGCTCTCCACCTGCTGACGTTGTGCTGCTACCTAGAGTTGCGCTCCGAGCTGCGGCGAGAAAGGGGAGCCGAGTCCCGCCTTGGCGGCCCGGGCACCTCTGGCACCCTGAGCAGCCCCAGTGGCCTCGACCCTGCCCATCTCATCACCCGCCACCTCGGGCAACAGTCACCTCAGCAACAGCCCTTGGAACCGGGAGAAACCACACTCCCCCCTGACTCCCAGGACGGGCACCAGGTGAGTTACCTCGTAGGGGCGGTGGCGGAGGAGGCGGAGGCCCCCTCCCCTTGTGGTTTGGGCGGAGGCCTCCACCACAGGGCCCTGGGAGGACTCTGCCACATGGAGCCAAGTTAGAGGGCAGGACCAGAGAGGGGGCAGGCGATCAGGGAGAGGTTGCCTAGGGCAGGTTGTCCTCGGTCCCTGGCCCAGCTCACCCGGCCTCTCAGGACCATTTGACTTGGAAACTAGCCCGCTCCCGCCTCCCCTGGCTACGGGCTGCCTCGGGAAAAGTTGGCAACGCTCTCTCCTGGGTCACGGCGAAGGAGGTGTCGGCGCTGCCCCCCCCCCCCCCCCCGGCCCGACTAACGGCTAGCATGGCCCTTCTGCGCCTGGTAAGGTTCCCTGCCCGCGCGCGGTGCTTGTTTTCTCGTGTCCAGAGCTGATGCCAGCACTAGCAGGCTCTCCTTTTGGAGATGGAGCTGTAAACAGCTGTGATAACTGTTCCACGCCTGTTGAAACAACTTTTAACCGTATTTTCAGCGCGGGGTCTTGTGCGCTTACCAGAACGTGGGCTTGTTCACACTTACCTGCTATTTGAGACTGATTGTCCTCGGCGTTCTAAGTGAGGATCAGCGCCCCTGAGGAATTCTGGTAGAAATATGCCGTCTTGCTAGACAACTTCTGAACAGCAATGTAAAAATCTATGGAAATAAAACTCACCCTTTGCATGCCGGTTCTGACTCTGTTTTGGGGAGGGGCGGGGATGAGGTGAGAAGGATGAGTATGGAGTGTTTTCACTACTGCTAGCTTGAGAACTGGAATCTACCAATGGAATAATGACTCAGGAGTAGTCTCCCAAGAGCAATTTTTTTTCTTTCTTTTTTGCAATCTTGATGGTACTTGTGCCCTTATTAGCAAACCATTAGCTTTGCTATTTTCTACTTTTTCTAGCTCTTTAAGAAATTTAGTGCATTTAATTTAAGTATTGTCTTGATTGCCATATTTTGGCTTATATGAAACTTAGAGGAGAAGCATCCAAGGATCTTTTTGAGGTGGTTAAAGAATAATAGTGCTGTAAATTTGTACTTCTTGGAGAAGAGGGCAAGTTGTGCAAATAAGTTCCCTGAAGTGAAGGACCCAGGCCTTCTATATTTACTACCACATTCAGAGTCATTGTCACAACTCTGTAAACATTATTTGTGCTACTTTGACCTTCTATCCAAAGTTATACTCCTGATAGAGGCACATCACATTCATGGTAATACTGTAATGTTAGGACTGACACATTTAAAATTTTTTTTTCACAATGTGCATCGTAAAGTTGCCCCGAGCCTTAAAATGTCTTGCTAGCACACTCCAATTTATATAACAGCTTATCAAAGAAGAGAATCAGCAGACATGCTTCTCATACTTGAAACTTTAAACACTGTAGCTAAACGATAATTAACTAGGAGTCTGGCTCCTTCATATATCTACCCCCAATGCTCAGTAGAAATTCTTAGCAGCTGAACATTGATCTTCTGTGAAAAGATAAAGGAATGCAACTTCCTTAGTCAAATAGTGGCCAAGACTTTTTGGCATTCAGGATGGGCAGAGCCATGTTTATAGACAGGATTTGCAGGATAGCTGGACTCTAGGGCTTCTGTGATGGCATGGGACTCTCACAGGTCTGTAATAGCATTTAGTCTCCTGTCCTTTGCATGGCACTAAAATAGTGCTGTCTAGGTTTAACCACAGCTTCCTATCTTCTGTCCTTTATTCTTTCTGTTTTAATCTTTTTGAGCAGTGGAAACAAGGATACTGGCTTTTTATATTTGCTGACATCAATTGGAATCAGAGTTTTTTAGAGTTGTGAGAGGCCATATCAGTCCATTTTGTTTGATTTCCTTGGAGAACACATAGGCCCGGAGGAGAAAGTGACTTGCCCGAGGTCACAAAACTAGAGTCAAAACTAGAATGGAAGTTGCTCTTTTAACTCCCAATTCAGTGCCTATTCCCCAGCAGCATGCTACCTACTAGGCCTTTTTGAAATGTTTTGACCAAATTAAGTTTGACATGTTTTCTTTATTCTTCCTGAATTTCACTTTCAGGAGACTTGGAGTATACTTTGAAGGAATTTTAGCCCAGATTCGACTTTAGTTTATCTTGAGGATATTAGTTTTAGTATGCAAAAGAATTAAAGAAAGGAAAAGTTGACTAGCTATTAGAATTAAATTAATACTTCTACGTCTTGGGTAAAAGTTCTAGTGCCCTGGTGCACCCTCTGCTGGCTTTGCAGGAACATTTAATTGCAGTATCTGCTGACAGACAAAACTCTTAAGTTGTGCTGACAGGTTCTGATTCATAAATAAGGAAGTAAACAGCCTTGTGGGATTTGGCCACGTAGGTCATAATTTTACATTTTAGTTTTTTGACACAAACAGCTGCTGTTACAGCAACTTATATGAAGAGGAAAAAAGATAAAAATATGCATCCTTCCATAGGGTGGTACATTCAGGTTTCTCACAAGTTTATCTGCAAGGAGTAAAGGCAAGCTGATGCGAATAAATTGCAAGAATATCTCTCATGAGACCAAGTGAGCAGAACAGACTGAGGCACTTCATTGTTCAGCAAAAGTGAACCTATCCATGCTTATGAGATGAGGGGCTCTGGGTTCTCAGTTATGACTCAATAAAGAGATCTAGAAATCACTGTAGCGGTATGTATGTCATCCCTCAATTTAAACACTTTTTTAAAAGGATACAGAAGGAAGTTAGGGCAGTCAGGGTACATAACAGAGAGATCAGCAAAATTCTCCAAGAGAAATGTTAGAAAAGTCTCCCCAGTGGGGACACAGTTGCTGATGGTAAAAGTGAGAGGGCCACATCAGACCTTCTGGAATCATAACTGCCTCCTTCAGCCAGAGCAGCCAAGTAGCTGTAGATTTATCTGGATACTTGTTAGAGATGATCTCAAGGGCTAGGGATATCTCATTAATGTCTGAATGAGACAATCACAGTATGATTATTAGAGTAAAAAAGAAAAATAAAAAAGTCACTGTTGATCATTCTGTGAAGTTGGTTCAGTAGAGATTGTGGTCCTCAAGGGCCAAGAATGTGGTGGGTATCATTAGGAAGTGTCAAAAACAACAACCAAACAGAACCCTTATCTTTTCCATGTAAAAGATCAAAAGTGGATTTGTATCTAATCAGACAGGAAATTCTGGTGGGTGCTCATCAAGAAAAAGCAGCTGATAGAAGTCCCCAGAAACCCAATTAAATTGATCAAAATGATGGAGGGATTTTCTAGTTTTTTTAAGTCTGGAGAGAGAGAGGTTGAGGGAGGGACAGGATCAAAGTTTACCAAGCTATGAGAGAGATGAGTATAGTTAATATACTGGTGTATTTTGACAGTTCAGTTCAGTACATAAAAAGCCTGCTGCGCCAGATACAATGTTAATTATTAGATATCTTTTAATGCTCAAAAGATTATTTTGGAAGGGAAACAAATAAAGGTTGTATCTCATTCAACTCATTGATCCTAGTGATAGTCTAAACTGTGGGTAGATCAATAAGAGTTTATTCAGGACTGTTGGGGATATTTGGGGTATGTTCATAATTATCTGAGGTATTGTTATAGAAGTCAACCTTAACATTCTACAAAGCATCTCTTGTGATAGATAGACCATTAGTGTATCCAGATTTGACATTACTTATGTTAATGCTAATTAATCAAGAAAATAACTAGGAATCATTCAAGGTGATTCAAGGCAAGTGTAATGAATAAATACAAGGATTTTATTTTATTTTTTTTTTTAATTTTTATTTTTTAAAGATGAACTGTAAGGGGATCTTAACCCTTGGCTTGGTATTGTCAGTGCCACACTCTCCCAAGTGAGCTAACCGGCCATCCCTATATGGGATCCGAACCCGTGGCCTTGGTGTTATCAGCACCACACTCTCCCAAGTGAGCCACGGGCTGGCCCATAAATACAAGGATTTTATAAAGGAAGTCAGATCCAGATAAAATAGCTTTCTATGGATTTAAATCCAGACTTTTCAGTGTAACATTAAAGGCCTTTGATCAACTGGCTTCATTATACCCATCCCATTTTCTCTCTCACTAACTCAACTTCTACAACCCACTCACCATATTCTTTTCTTGGAATTATTCTCTAGTTGTTATTGCTGTTATTTTAAATAAATCTTGTACCTTTACATTAGGGTTCCTCAGAAATATGCTTTCTTTTTTGCCGTTCTCCACAATGCCTAACGTAGGGCTAGTTACAGTTAAGGTGCTCAAATACTTGTTGAGTTTAATATGATTTTGGGACTTTGAAGATGTTTATGCAAAACAAAGACATTTTCTCTTTATATAACAGGCTTGTTTTCCTCAGGTCTTGCTAAGCCTGTGAACTATCACCTATGCTTAGGTGAGTAAATACTTCTAATGGTAATGTTTCACTGGTTTCTAGAATAATTAGAGAGTGAAATGGAGAAGAGCCCTGACCATGTGGTCCATCTCCCAGTTTCACGCCTTACCTCTTAGATGGTACAAAAAGCTTTCTGTAATGTATCATTTGATGTTTTGTTTTATTTGCTTTATTTGCTTTTAGATCTCATCTTTCTCTTTCTCTCTTAGATCTTGTAAAAAATAGTCTGAAATTTATCTGTACCTGCCTTATATAGGTCTCTTTATACTAGAGAACTTCTGAAGCCATTTAATTCCCAAGAACATTACCGAAAGAACCTGCTTGCCTTGCCTGCAGGGTGACCCTCACAGAGTACCATCTTTATCTGACTCCTTTATAAATGCCTAACTCTTCTTCATTTCTTTTCTTTTTTTTTTTTTTACTTTTCTATTGAAGTATATAACACACATACAAAAAGTGCACAAATCAGAATTGTACAGTTTGGTGAATTATTACAAAGTGAACATATTCATGTTACCAGCACCCAGATAAAAAAAATAAAACATTACTAGCACCCCACAACCCCTACTTACACCCAGTCTATCACTGTATCATCCTCACTGTTCAAAGTTAATGTCTATCCTAACTTCTAACTTTGTAGATTAGTTTCCCCCCATTTTGAATTTTGTATAAATGAAATCAAACAGTATGTATTCTTTTGGGTCTGGTGTTATTTTGCTCAGCACTATACAGATGGTCCCTGACTTAAGAAGGGTTTTTCAGGATGTAACCCCATCGTAAGTTGAAGAGCTCCTTACAACTTCTGACAGGTTTATGGTTTATACTGAATACATATCCCTTTCACACCATCATGAAGTTGAAAAATTGTAAGTTGAACCATCATAAGTCAGGGACCATCTGCAGTGCTGTCAGCATTATATGCATTTTTGACTTAATGATATTTTGGAATTACAATAGGTTTATTGGGACATAATCTCATCCTAAATTGAGGATCATCTGTATTTGTGATATTCATTTATGTTGTTATATGAAGCCGCAGTTTTTAATTTGTATTTGTGTGTATTATTCCATTGTTTGAATATACCAAAATTTATTTATTCATTCTACTGATAATGGATATATGGATTGTTTCCCATTTGGGGTTATTACAAATAATGATGTTATGAATATTATTGTACATGTCTATTGGTTATATGTACTTAAATTTCTGTTGGGTACATACCCAGGATTGGAATTACTGGGTCATGGGGAATGCAT